TCCTAATAATAGAAACTGACTGAGTCATATATAAGATTGTGTATAGTTCCCTAGCAAGGCAATTATTAAGAATTTAATATCTTGTGATAGATAAGTTTTATTGTTGAGGAACTTCAAATCCCTAATCTCATTTCCCTTAAAAATACTTTTAGAAATAAAATTATATCAACAGCTATTTACTGACCATTTACTTTTTAAAGGATGCTACTATCAATCATATTTTCAGAATTATTTGAAATTATATGAAAGATTCTCTTTTTATTTGTATAAGTCTAGATATTTTACAGAGATAAAACCTTCATAAAGAGAGGTTTCGCCTTTAACTAAAAGAAGAGAAATAAAGTGGGGAAAACAAAGAGCTTGAGTTTATTTCTACAGAGAGTTGCAAATACAGAATCATGGAATTTTAGGGCATAAAATTAAGATAAAAATAGGATCAAATCTTAAACTATTATGATTATTTATTTGATTTCACCAGAACTATACATATTAGATGACTACTTTTAACAAATGCAAAGGTAATTGATCATCTATTCACTTAGTTTTACCAACATAAATACGGCTAGGTATTTAACCAGGTATTTTTTAACTGACCCTATGTCAATTCACAACTTTGTCTCTAAGCATATTTTGCTTAAGGTGGTAAGAAACATATTTCTAGAAGTTCTGAATTTGGGGCTTCTTTTTTCTGATGGAAATATTCTCTAGATATGAAAGGTCATATTTCTAAATAACCAGCATGGGCTCTCTGATTCAGGCTTTGCTTAGGCCCATTTCACAGTGACATTTTCCATATCTTGCCTTGTATGCTTCAACTTCCCAACTAGAATGTGATGCCCTTGAAGGAAGGAATCCTGCTTCTTCACTTTCAGTCCATCATTGTTCCTAACTCCATGTTTTCCATCTAGGTGCAGTTTAAAGATATTTGTGGAAAGGAAAGGGGAAAAATCATGGTAAGCTAAAATTCTAAGGTACTGTTAGGTTGATAAATGTGTGGGTTTTTAAGTGTTTCTTCAAGTGCACAAAACTGATTCGTTAGCTTTGACATGACCAACCTACTCATTCATATTATTTATTTAAAAGAATATAATTGATCTCCCAAGATTTAATGACTCCGTCTGTAACTCAGGAATGGTGGAAAGAGCATGGACCTTGGCATAGAATTCTAACTCGGCTGCCTGCTAGCCTTGGCCAGGCTACCCAACCTCTTCAAGCCTTGCCTCCCTCTTTGTGAAAGAGAATTGGTAATACTTAGCTTTCTGGCTTACTGTAATGAGAGAATAGATTTGAATAGCTACTCTGCTTTCCTCTAATTCGGAGTGTAATTACTGGGTAATCAATCTCTCTAATCCTCAGATTCCCTGTCTATTCAATAAACATTAATTAAGCCATTCAACAAATATCATTAGGCATCTAATGAGCCCCAGAAACTATATATATATATACATATATATGCTTATTAAATGCTCAGTATATATATTCTTAGGTTAAATAAAGTACAGGAAACTAAATAACACAAAGACAAAAGGGGGCATATTTCCGCCCTGGGCGTAAAGAGAAATGTTCTGATGGAGAAGATATATGAATGAGACTTGAAATAGGAATAAACATTAGCCACATGAAGAATATTGGAGAGAGTTCTAGATAAGGGGAGAGAATAAAGGCATGGGGTTGAGAAACAGTACGGTTTGTATGGGAACAGTCTGACAGCAGGTTGTTATTTGAGTTTGGAATTACACAAGAATGGGTGAGTATGAAGCTCAGAAAAGTCCAGGCCAGAGGGCGTTTCGTGGGTTTTCTTGTAGACACTTTAAAAAGCTTTAAACAGGGAAGTGACATAGACAGATCGCATTGTAGAAAGAAATCACTGTAGAAATCATTAAAATGAGCAAATCTATTTAAGAGGTAAAAGGGAAGCATTACTATAGGAAAGGACAAATAAGAAGGCTGTGACATTCATGTATGTAGAAATGATGCTCTGAATTATACAGTTTAGTAGTAATAGGAACAGATGTGAAAACATATTTAGAATATAAAATAGATAAGGCTTAGAGACTACTTGGTTGTGAAGTTGAGTGAGAAGGGAAAACCAAGATGGATGAACAGGATGTCTAGCAATTAACTGAAGCTCCGAATCTAAGAGAAGAAGCAGATTTGGGGAAAGGGAATGAATAATACATTCAGTTTAGAATATGTAGAATTGGGGGTTGCAGTCAGACGCATCCAGGAAGCAAACGGATAAGTGAGCTTGGAGAGAGAAGAGCTGAAGATAGAGATTTGAGATATCTATAAAATATTGCCTACCTTCCGAGAGGAAGCTAAGGATTAAGTTAGATAGTGTATGTAAAGTGGGTAATGCTACAAAGCACTATGAATAAAATAAATTGGATGGCATATTTATGCACCTAACTCAATAAATGTAATTTCTATTCCATCTTGGGCAGAATTATCCGATCAATTTCTTTATTTAAATAGAGCCTAAAGTTAAAGTTACAGTATAACTTAACAGCCTCCTCTGGGTTTTAAAGAAAGCTTAATAAGCTGACGGTCAATCTTCCAGTTATTTCTTCTCAAATCACTAAACTATTATGGAGTTGGCTTAATGGACCATCCTCCCCAAGCCAGAACCAAAAAACCGACCTGTTCTCTCGCCTCTTTTGCTAAATGCCTCTTGGTTAAAAAAAGACCCTGCGAAGATCCTGCAAAATCCATCCTAACGTAAGACCTTCTACTTAGGAAATATAATTTTTAAATTCGTCAACATGAAAGTAAAACAATATAATTGAGAATGCATTCATTCAACTTTCAATTCCAACCACAGGGATCCAAGTCCTGACAACCTTGTGGAAGATGGAAAAGATGGAGGAAAATGAGAGGAGTGGTAAGTTTTCCTCCACTCATTTCAATCCTTCCAAAAATTCCTCCCCAAGATTATAGAAAGTGACCACCCACCATGTTGGGGAAGCTAGTAAAGTAGTCTTGTTCAGGTTTCAGAGGTGGCACTAGGCCTCTCTCTGACCAGACAATGACGCTAAAGCTGGCTGCATGCCAAACTGCTGAGGTACACCCAGGCCAGCAGGGGTGGCACCAGCATACATTGTAAACCATTAAATAAAACAGGGAGTAAGTCATGGGACTTCTTGCACCTTGAGGGTCTGGCCAGCCCCCGGGGGCTCAAGGACATTCTCAGACTTAAGAGTTAAGACCAAGGCATTTATGACAACAACCAGAGCTGCAAACTTCCACGTAGGCTGATCGTTATCAGCTTGTGGCCTGGTGCTAAAAGCTGGGCTCCTTTGGGTGGCAAACTGAAGTCTCAGCAATGGAGTGGACGCACCGCCTGGGACCTTCCCAAATGGGACTCCAGATTGCTGTTCAAGGGACTTCCCAGCGCTGCTTGGATCTGCATGTAGCTGCTTCCCCAATTCGGTGATGTGTAAACCTGTCTGTATCATTCTTTCTTAGTTAGTTATACTATTCTTTTCTTAATTAGTATACTGCAAACTTTGTTAATTTAATAAACTCTCTCTAAATTCTTGTTTGAGTGTAGAGTGGTTATTTTGCCAGCGAATCCTACTAACCTTGAAACCGAAAGTGAGGCTTTCAGCAAAACACACCAATACAGATCAAATCATTGGGTGTTCTTTTAAACCACTTTTGAATGACTCTATATATCTAATCTTTAAAAATGTCCCCCTGTAACCAATTAAAAAAACTCACATTTGATGCTATTTCTAGCCATGGATGTATAAAAAATATAACTAAGAAAATGGTGTGTCTCCATAGTTTTGACTAACGTTGATTAAGTTTTAAAGTTCTTTTCTGTTACATTCAAAATTTAAAGTGACTCAGCTGTATATTACACATCTACCCTGCCATGATATTAGAGAACTTCACTTATTCATTGCCATAGGCTAATTATAGAGATCATTAGGCCGTAGTCTGCTGGAGTGGTTATGAGTCATTGATGGATCATGATTGCTCCCAGAGATGTGAAGAAGCTGTGTCTTTCAAAGGTGGGGATGATTAAATCAGTTCTTAATAGTATGTAGAATATACATGCTATTAAGAGCTATAATGAATGAACTATACTTTCTTTACTTATAGTCAAACTACCCCTGAAAACTAAGCTGTGTGTGTGTGTCACTATATTTTCTAGTCTGTGTTTACATTTACATTAGGCAAAAGCCTTCCCTGTGACTGATAAAAATCCCCAAATAAATACTGCTGGTTTTCTAGGTATAAAATCTGATTTAGTCCTACTTCAAACCATTAAGATCATATTTCTATAGTGAATAATCTTGTGCAAATTACCTATTAGAGCAATATTTTGTGAACTGTCGAATTTACGGACAATATATTTTCAAAACACATCACACTTTAATTTTCCTAGTGCTTATACAATGCCATAGAAAAGGCCATTTATGATCCCTTAGTTCTCTCAGGAAAAGAGGAAAGAAAAGTAATTTTCCTTATAATGAATGGAAAAATTGCTCCTTGAGAACAGTAAGTGGGCTGTGAAAGGCCCTTCTCTGCACTGATATGAAGGAGGCGCTAACATAGATTTCAGCAGGCTGTTCCCCTCTTGTGCTGTCATTTAAACTAAGTAACAAGAGAAGAAGGAATGAGTTCCTTTTACAGTTGAAGGAATGCAATTTATACATCAAGAATTTATTGACTATAAAATTTGGGAAACTTTTGGATTTAATCCCCAGGAAGTGGTATTATGTTTCTATCTGGAATGGTTAAAGAAGAAGATTCCCAAAGCCAGGAGAAAGCAAATGTAACACTTCTCAAAGCCACTCAAACTACGTGATCATAAAGTATTTTATTCACAAGCATTCAGTCAATTCCAAATAGAGTTTCACTCACCTAGGTCACCAGTGAGTTAAAGACGCAGAATCAGTCAGGATTTCTATGTTCTTTTTTCCTTTAGATTTTGATTTAAATAAAACTTTCTCCTTTTACCTTCCTACAGTTTTGCATGAAGCACATCATACCTGTCCCAGCCTGTAACCAGGATTTTCTTCTTAAGAACCAGGATGTGTGAAATATCCACAGCTCCCTCTTGCCCAACATTTAGTGTGTGGTGACGATAGCCATTGAGGTCCCAGACCTTCAAGAGAAATAGTAAAATCAGCTTTGAGACAAGAAAAGAAAATGTCTTCTTCAATGAGTACATTAACAGAGTGTAATAGGATTATTTTACACGGTTTTGTTTACATCCTGGACTAGGGTTGATTCACTTGAGATACATAATAATTAAAGAAAATCCTCTCACCATTTGAATTTAGCTATTATATTTATTACTCATTTTGTAACCTTATCAGTCTATTCTAATATTGTTGATTCAAAGACTATAAATAAGTGTATATTTTTTAGGGGGAGACAATACAAAATCATGAAAAGCCACATTTTGGAGTCTGTCAAAATCCTGCTTCTTTCTCAAAGTGTCTTTCTAAATTTTAGTTTCCTCATTTATGACACAGGACATTTACTCTTCAGGCATGCTTGGAATTTTAAACATCTAATACAGAGCCTGAAATACAGTCATCATGTCCTAGGTTTCCTATCTTCTGCCAATAAAACCTCCTGTTGACAGTGCGTGCCAGACCCAAGCCCACAGAAGCACAAGCAATTCCAGTTTACCTCCTCAGGCAGTGGGTGAGGATGTAGACCTGATGGGTGTACTTTAAGAGAGAAGGTCATTAGGTCACCAGCAGTTAAAACTAAGCCCTGCTACGAAACATTATTGGTTCATCATCAAAGAGCAAGTTGGCACCTTCTATCAAGATTAAAACACATATACACTTTGCCTCAAAAATTCAACTTCTAGAAAATCATCACACAGAGACACTCATATGTATGAAATGACATATTTTGAAGGATATTCTGGATGCTTTGTTTACAAAAGCTAAAGATTTAAATCAACTTAATTGCTAACAAGAGACTGAACATCAGAATATGGAATATCTACAGTAGCATATAATGTAACTATTAAGAAGAATGAGTCACCTCCAAGTGTCCAAGCTTTGCCCAGAGGCGACCAGCTATGGAAACTTAAAGCAAGTTGCTTTATCTCCTTGGGCTTCAGTTTCCTCCTCTGGTATAATAATAGTACCAACCACGTAGAGGTGTGTGTGTGTAAAGTGCTTAGCACAGCGCCTGGCTCATAGTAACCATGCGATAAAATTTAACTAACATCATTATTGCTGTTGTTTGCATTCATATGAATCAATGTCCAATACAGGAAAATGCAGAGCAGCATGGACAATGGACTCTGCCACTGAGAAAAAAATGGTGCTCATGGTCTAGAAAGATGTACAAGAAACTAGTACCACTGGTAGCCACAAGGGAGGAGCTGGGAACAGGGGTAAGAAAGAGACTTTCTCTTCACTGTATATCCCTTTTATGTTTAAAATTTTATTGTGTGCATACATTATTCAAAACAATTAATTTAAAAACAGACACTTCGAAACCGTGATAAATAGGGCAATACTTTTAAATCTTTGATTGCATAGGTACTGGGTTTTAGATTCTAAATTATAAATGAGATTGGAAAATATCATTCATTCTTGTTTCTTCATAGAATATGTCCAGCGCAGCTCAACCTTGATTTATGCATCCTACATACCTACACTGAAATTGTCAAAGTTCAGAATTCTGTTGTGCTATTGTGATAAAGATAAATGTACCTTCAAAAGCTGTGACTGTAATACTAAATTCACATTAACTTCTAACATGTCAAGGCTTGAGCTGAGACATTGAGGGGTATACATGCTCTTCACCCACAAAAAAGTATTGTAAAGACCTGACTGTCTCCAGATCCTATCAAGCTGTGACCCTTCCTTAGCTGGGACCATTTTTGCAACCATCTACAAGTCTGCCCTATCCTAGACTCTATGACCAGTTATTCCCAAGATAGGGATAAAAATAATCTAATCCATTCCCTTCATTTTTCACTTCAGCCTTGTATCCAAGGACTGGTAAGTGGGATTCTCACTTGTTCCTTTTGCCTAAGCCACTGTCTAATACTCCAGTTCCAGTTATTCTTGTTTTATTCTACCTTGACTTATTAGGATTGGGATTATCCCATTACCTTCCCACATTTTACCAGTTCTCCCATGAACTAGATTACTTTACTTAAACACATTCTCCCAGTCCATACCTCATGCCATTACCCTTCCCAGAGGCCATGTTCTGCTGATTTCTAGAGATTCTCACTGCAACATGCTTCACACTGACCACTGCAGCCTGGAATCTCCCGGAATACTTGCCCCCAACTTCCATAATATTCTACCTACATATCCAGGTAGCTTTCCACTAACCTCCCATGCAGCCTACCTGAATGCATCTTACAACCTAACACAGAAGGTACATCTAATTAACAGCCTTCTGACCCCAGTTAGGACAGAAATTTGAGAACCATTCAAAGCTTATTCAAGAAACTGCCTTCTGTTGCCTCAGAGTGTCACAAGTCATCTCTCATCCAACACTGTCATCTCTCTTGAAGCTGAGAACAGAGAAGATTCACTGGTAAGCATGATTTCAGATTGTAAGTATCTAGTTTGGCCTGAAATTTTGATCACCTTTGCAAAGTAAAATACCACTTTCCTCCCAGAAGAAATTAATAATAGTTACAAAATTTAAAAACTGAGAGGATGAGATAGTGTTAGTTTAGGATGGATAATAAATAAAACTATGATTGTTCTTCCTGCTTTCCTTCTTTACTGCCTTATTACCTTCACATAAAAATGCAGATTACAAAATGGGTAACTTCTAAATATTCATTTTCCAAAAAATTTACATCTATGCAATTTTTAAAGTTTACTTACTTGCCCTGATTTCTCATTTTATATACCAAAAAGAAAAACAAAAGAAAGAAAGAAAAATGAAAACTAGAGACATTAGCTGAAGCACATGAAAATTATTCAGGCTTCTTATTCCCCAGAGTGGTCCTCTATGGCTTTCTGAAATAAGTAAGCCAAGTTGTGTTTTGATTCTAAATAATTTATTCAGAAAAACCATTTATTCATTTTTCCTCAGAGGTTTATTTTCCTAACAGCTTTGTTATTAGATGGTTTGGGTTATTTAGCTCTTCTTATCTTCTCATCTCTCTTCTTGAAAGGCCAAAAATACCAACACAAATATAGCCAAAGCTGTGTCTCCTCACACAATATTTTAGCCCCCTCATATCTGGATAGAAAAGCGTCACTGTGTTCGCACCTTTACAGTCCCATCTGTGCTGCCAGTCAAAAGCCGTGTCTCATTTGCATCGAGGGCCATTGTGCTGATTTCTGCATTGCCATGGCAACCAGTAAACTGTTTGATTTTCTGCCCAGTGTCTATCATCCAGAAGGAAATCGTCGACCCCGCATCAGTACTGATTACCTACAAGAAAATAACACTGTAGAGAAATTAAATATAGTTCCAGAATCCACCATTTTTATTTAAATAAAATATCCAGCCTGTGCATTTCCACCAGTGAGATTCCCCCAACAGTGACAATTTCGTAATGTATTTGCTTTCTTTTTATTAAGCTGATAACATTTCAATTTCTAGGCCAGAACTGAGGTAATGAAGTCATGATTCTCTTTATCAGAGAAGATAGGAATCTTCTTTCCTTACTCAGCTTAGTGTCTAGAGGCCATCCTGAAATCGAATCCTACTGAAATAAACTTATAAATCTTTCACATTTAGATGAGAAACTTGATTTTATCAGTCATGATGTTCCGACACTATTTACTATATGAAAAGAAACCTTTTATTATATATTAGCTTCCATTTAGCATTCAGAAAATAAAGCACTACCAGCCATTATGGGGAAAAGTTCATTTCAGCAAGTTGCTAGAGTTACTGCTTCTAATGCCATTAGTCCCTTTTTTTCCTCAAGGTGCTGTGTATATTTTTACAACTAACACAATTTTTGATGGGTCACTACAAACAAAGAACACAGGAAGGTTAAATATAAATCTGCATATACACTCCAAGAGGAAGGCAACCAAACAAATGCAAGAAGGGATAGGATTATATATAATAGTTCCATAGTAAGAAATTTAATAGTGTCAAGTAGACTGCTAATTTCAGCTCTAGGTATTTAGGCATCCTTTAAGAGATTTATAGGTTAAAACTACCTTGCCCATATGACTTTCGGACCCAAAGGCATGAAAGAAAAAACAAAAAAAACACTAAACATAAAAATGTGTAGATAGAAAGTTGCCTGAAGCAATATCTAGATTTTAAGAAAATTTAAAGTGCATCTTTACCCACTTAGGTATTGATTACCAATGTATAAATATAAAAGTATTAAGAATATGTTAAAATGTCACATTTTCATAATTAAATGGGTTAAAGTTTATCAAATATATGTTCGGAAGGCCTGGATAACTGGCTGTCATACATGTATTCACTCATTCATTCACTCATTCATTCACTCTACAGGCATTCACTGAACGTCCACTGGGTGCCAGCTCCATGGGGGCAGTGGGGCTTCACTGATGCATCCCTGCTCTCAAGGGGTCTATAGTCTAGGCTTGTACACTAGAATCACTTTAAAAATCACAGTTGTGTACCAGACCAGAGACTCAGACTTGATTGGATCAGGCAGTGGAATTTTTAAAGAGCTCTGCAGGTTATTTAAGTATGCAACCGGGTCAGGTACTACTGGGCTAGAGGGAGAAACAGACAAGAAGTAAATCAATGCCCAACAATCCTACAAGTTTAGAGGTATCACTCCTGGGTGATCTGGGGGCACAGAGAGTAAAACCACAAATCCATTCATTGGAGTGGGGAATGGGGATAAAATGTGAGGAGGATCAATCAGGGGTTGAAGATAGGAACATGTATTTATTGAGTGCCAAGCCCTTTACACCCACTACTGCATTTGATCTTTAAAGAAACTCTGTAAAATTATGTTATCACCCTCTCTCTACCAGTGATTAACTTGAGATTCTAATCAGTTAAGTACCATTCCCAAGCTTATATAACGAGGTTTGAATCCTGGGCCTTCTCTGACAGACACATCATAAGGCCTTCCTCTATTTCAGCATCCTACCCCAGATAATTAAGAGTGATGAGAAGACAGAACTTGGAGGCTATTCCAAGCATGAGAAACAGTAAGAAGTGTAATGGAGCCAGAGTACAGACGATGAGATAAATGGTGGAATATCAGGTGAAGAAGCAAACTGACGACAGATATTTGAAATCCCTAATGAGCAATGCCAGAGAATAATGGGTAGTGTGTATTGTTTTTCTTTTAAACTGGGAAAGGGTTCATGGCTTTCATTGGTTATCAGTGGCATGTATGACTCAAAATAAAATTAGGAACAATCTCTTTGTTCTTAATAAGGAGGAGAGAGATATCGCATTTTTGTTGGTTGGTTTGTGGAGGTACCTCTGGCAGCAGTGTGGAAAACAAACAGGTTGTGAGAAGACCATTTAGAGGCTGCTGTATCAGTCCAAGTGGAGATGCTCACCTGAGACAGTAGTCCCAGAGGTAAAAAAGAAGAGGAGGGATTGAATGAAAGGGTCACCGTTTAGCAATCTTTATGCCTCAGCAAAGAACTGATCGTGAGTGTGGGAGTTCTCACAGACCTTTTTTCCCCTGATATTACAACTCTTAATCAGACAATTTCTTAAATGATGTAAAACTATGTCTATGCCACACATTTTCTCTCTGTGAAATCAAAAGTAGCTTCAAAGTTTAATTACCGTTATTAAGCTACAGTGAAATTTCTAGAACAAAAGACCTGGATCTTCATAATAATGTGACCTAACGCTTTAATTATCATTCCATGTAACTGTGCTTCTATTTGTTTTGGTTTGTGCAATATGCATGGTGGCTAAGCACTGGCTCAAGCCAGCATGCCTGAGTTTAAATGTCAGTGTCTGACCTTGGATTCATTACTTAATCTCTCTAAGCTTCAGTTTCCTCACCTATAAACCAGAGAGAATCATTGTCACTACCTTAAACCATTTTTAAGAGGTTGAAGTAAGCTAATATTTGTAAAGCATTTAGCACAGTTCATGGCATACAATAAATGTCATAAAAGTTATCTAGCGTTACTATCCTATTCAAGCTTAATCACCTGACCTTTTATTTGGACTCATATCCCTTTTCATATCCGAATCAATTTAAGAAAAACATTTAATGTCTTGTTTTCTTCCAACCATGAGAGTGAATGTAGACAGCTACATTTCAGAAACCAACTTTTAAGATGTACGTTGAAATTTAAAATTATATCACACTTGGAATTTTCTCACATAACTATTTAAGAATTTGGATTGTATTCATTAAAGATAAAGCCATGAAAACATAATATTCCAAGCATGAGTAAAAATTCTGATAGTCATCTTTCAAGAAAAGGTTAGGGGATTTTATGATTTCAATTCAAAAAGCGTTTATTGAGCATCTATTATATGCTAGGCATTTCAGTACTAAAAGATGGGTATTCCCTGATAGAAACAAAAAAGGCAAAATAAAGTAAACAATGTTCAAAGAAAGACTTGCTTACTTGTTTAAGACTGGCATCACGCACATTACAAAGCATTTCATCATCCACTCACCACTTTTATCTAATGTAGACATTCGATCAAGAATTAGTAACCTCTGCTTTTTGCTATTTTGCACTCTCCCTCCTCTGCCTTACCTGGCTAAACCCCAACATACTGTTCATCACTTTTCAGCACTTTACTCATTTCACAATTTCTCACGAAATCGGAATCAATAATGACAACAGTGTACAGCCAGTCAGATTTCATTTTATGGCAATCTACCTTAAGGCTCAGTCTTCAGGAAAACAACGTGTTGAAATGCAAGGACCGACTATGTCACAAACACACACCTGGTATTAACCAGAATCTGCTCAAACTATGACAATATCAGAATACAAGAATAACAAGGCAGGTGAAAAGATGTTCAATGTCAAGTGAGAGAGGAGGGCGTTTACCATCACTTAGCAGATGAAGTGGTTTGACTACAGGACCGTGAGCACCATGTTTTTAGCAAGCTGTTTTCATCTGCAATAAACTCCAGGAATAAGTATTGGCGTCATATTTATATGCCACATTTTGATGATACCAAGTCCCTTTAAGTTTTCAGTTTCCTCTTGGCTGCTTCTTATCAGATGAGACCTTAACCTTTGAGGACAGGGCCTTGGCGTCTGCAGAGCAGAAACGGCACTTTCCTAATAACTACACTTCAGTGCAAATGGACCCTGTGAGCAAATCGTTCTGATGGAGGCACGCTCCACCTTATGTACCTGAGTTAATAACTGTTTAGGAACATATGGGTCTTTTTTGTCTCTCTCATCTGAAGCTGTCACAGCCAATCAGACAATTCTAAGATATGTGAGGCTCTATCCATGTCCCCTAATTGTCTTTTTGCTATTCCAACAAAAATAAGCACTTCTGTTCTCTTCTATATGCATCTTAAATTCTAGGTCTAAGCAAGAAAAACCAAAAATTGCAGCAGCAAATATTGCTGGCTACCAAGGGATCAGGACATTTGACTTAATTGTTGTTTATAATTTTATTTTTTTAAGTCAGTGCTGTTTGTGGTCCCATAATATAAAGCAGGTTGTCTCCTTTATTTCTATTTCGCATCAAATCTCTAGAAGTTACTTACCAGTAAGTAGTGAAGTGAGGAGAATGATAATATCTCAGAGTACTGGTACAAAGAATTCAAATATCTTAAGGCAGCCATTCTCTATTTATAAATCTTATTTGTCAGAATATCACTTCTTTGTAGATTAATTTGTAATTGGATCTTTCAGACTCATTCCTTTAGTTTGTCAAACCCCTACCGTATGCAAGGCACAGGATCTAGGCATTGGGGATCCAAGAGTAAAATATTCCTGCCCTTATATTTAGTGAGGGAAGAGGGGAGAGATGCAACTAAATGAGAAGAAAAGCATGCACACACACACACACACACACACACACACACACACACACACACACACACGATGTTTAGCGGTGATAAGCGTTATAGAGAAAAATATAACCAAGAAGGAGGTAGAGATCACTGAGAGTGGGTGAAAAGCTGGGGGCTCTGGGAAGGTTTCCCTGAGGAATTATTTGAAGAAAGACACAGAGGTCAGGGAGGGAGCCATGCAGATACCTGGGTGAAGAGAGTCCCAGGAAAAGGAAACAGCAACACAAAAGCCCTGAGACAGAGTGTCCTTGGTATGTTCAAGGACTAGAAAGGAGGCCAGCAAGGCTTAGGCAGTATGAATAACGGGAAGGACCACGGGCTGTGACCGCCTGTGATCATTATACAGGTGCTCAGAACAGTCCCCCAATCAGTAGGCACCCACAGGGATTAGAGTATGAAGTCAAAAAGTATCACTTCCCTTTTTTGGGGTAATTTTATTTAGCTTTTACTCCCGCTT